ACAAAACACTGAACAACTAAATGATATGTTAAAAAAAGAGAAATTAGCTACTGAAGAGGAAAGAAATGCAAAAGATGTAGGTATTACTTGGTTAAAAAGCATCCGAGCGTGTAGTTCGTTTTGAAAATATTGAGCCTAACTACAGGCTCGTAGTTTATCAATAAATTCATTTTTTGATTTTAGCTTTTGGATCGAACACTCGATAATATGAATCAAGAATTTAATGAAGCTAAAAATTTTGCTGAAGCATTAAAAATTGAAAATAGAGATTTTAAAGTAATTGGACAATTCTATTTTGTACTGCTTTTTTGTTTTTGTAACATTGTTTATCTGTTTTTTTAGAATGCATTTGAGAAAATGAGAATCGAACATCAAGAAAAAATGGCTGATTTATGTAATCGAGAAGAAGAAGCAAAAAAACAAGTTGGCACACGATTTTACTAGACATCTAACGCATCTTCTTTTATTTCATCTTCTTGATCTATTTAGTCATCGACATAGCAAAAATTCATTGTTTTAAAGGGTTATTCACATGTAGCGCATGTACTCAAAGGCCGAACGAAACAAAGAATGGAACTAGAAAAATTCTTAGCTTTAGACGAAGATGATCCTTTGTAAATAACCGTTTAGAACAACGAATTTTTGCTATATCGATGACTAAATAGAGCAAGAAGAAGATGCGATATACGCCAGATGTCTACTATTTTGTGGTTTTTTCTATCATTTATTTGCTTATATCATTCAGGTAGCTACTTGGGAACAAATGTATCGTGAGTGGATGGCCACCATGGAACGACGTGTAAATAATCTACAAGTCACTAATGAAGAATTACAAGTAAATAATTGTTTACAAATTTTACAATTTATTTTGTATTTGAAAAATCTAATCATGTCGCATTTATATGAGAACAGTCGTCTCATACAAAAAGTGGAGGATTTAAAGCGCTAACCCACTCGATCTTTCTGTCATATGGCTAACAGTCTTTGTCCCATTCTGATCACCTAAATTATTCGCAAAAAGAAGTATTCCTCTTATTTAAAAAATTTGTCTGTCTATAGAAATCTAAACTAACGTGAAACTTTCTCTTCTTCTTCAGCCTTTTAGCCATTGGTGAAGTTAAAAAGTAAAGTTGTTTGTGTCCTTCTCCCAATAATCTACCTATTTTACCATTTGTTTGTGACAGTTTTTCATTTAATGCGTCCTTGTTGAGTCAGTGTTTATTATTGCGTTACTTATTTTAGTCTTGGCTACAAGAAGAAAATCCTGATACATCGTCAAAAACAGCCGGACATGGTCCTCCTGCAGATCGTCGGTAATAAACACGCACAGATCATCGTTTTTTGAGAATGTTTTATTTTTATAAATTTAATC